AACATGTTATATATAAGCATAAGTTACAAGTATGTAAATGCACAATTGATACAATAGTATATTAGACCGTTTCTAGCAGCAAACAATTATTCTAAAAAAAGACAAGAAATTAAAATACACTCCAAATGTTTCATTATACGTTTATTTGATACATGGTTTGATCTCAAGACCGAATCTAAAAAATCATGAAGAAAAAAGCATTTAATTGTTAAAGATAATTCGAGTAGCCAATTCAAAAGTAACAAGAAAATGCCTAAAAGATATCAGTCGATACTCAATAATAATAGGAGGAATTTATAATATAATAATATTGTGAGATATTTTAAATTAGTTCGTATACGTATATATATATTTTAAACAATAATTCCTCATTCATGCACACAGCTCAGATTCTTGTATGATAAGTTGCTCTTCATTTACACCAAAATTCAGATAATTCCTATATGTCGTCATAATTCAGTTGAATGAAGTTTCTTTTCATTCAAGTGAGATTCAACTAAGTTTTTACCTACAAATTCGAGACCGTGTACTTCACTGAGGGCCGATTGTTCCATCTTTTGGTAAAGTTTACCTGTTAGGTAAATCTGACAATCCGCGCACTTTGATTGGATAATCTTGCTATTTACCTAACAGGTAAACTTTACCAAGAAGTTGGAACAATCAGCCCTGAATCTTGTTAACTCATATTAAAAGTGAGATTATATACCTGATGTGTTGTGTGTCATAACATTGTCACCAAAGTAAACACATCATTACATCTGAGTATAAAATATTCACATAATTTTAGACTCGATTTTAATATCACTTGTGTGAAAATGGAATGCAACTATTGACTACATTTTACGATATAAACAAATTAAATATATAGATATCAAAGGCAAATATATAAATGTATATTTTATTTATCTTATAAAATTTCGATGAATTTTCTTATTTTCGTAGTTCCTAATTAAATTGTTAGCTCAACTGTTTTTAGTTGAATTAAATGATGTCTAATGTCTATTAATTAGATTAATTCAGAGGTAGTTTATGGATATCTAAAGGTACCTCCGCCAGAATTTCGAACCGCCAGACCGAAAATTGAATGTAAATGTTTGAGTGACCGTCACAGTATATAACAATTTTGTCCACACATGTACATACACAGGTAATATATTATTTTTAATATTACATCTTTTTATTTATATTTATTATATTACATTTGTATTAATTTTATATTATTAATATAAAATGTGTATTTTTATTAATATTATATATATTAATCAATATAAATATTTTATTGATCTAACATTAAAATATTTTAGGTGATTGATTAAAATGAATGTAAGAAATTGTCTGTACAGATAACTTTGTAGATTATTTATGAAGTACAAGTTTTTGTTTGACGAATTCACTAAATGAATCATTAATTGATAAGAACAACCTGCAGTGTTCTAAGGAAAAATCTTATTTAATTTTAAATTACTTAACTAGTAACGATTTAAAAATATGACTCTATGAGATATGTACAATTTAAATATATTCTATTTTTATTTATATAGATATAGAAATACTATCCCACTAAACAAGAATGGATTAAAATGGATTGAAATTTTGTCTAATCCGTATTTTAAATAGCGAAAACTTTTTTTTTTATATTCAAATGGATTCAATTGGATGCAATTGGGTTGAAAAACTGCATTTCCTGCCCAAAATTTTGAATTGAACGGTATTCACAATGCACAGAAAAAGCTAATATTATTTTTAGGTTGAAAGGCATAGAGATATGCTCCATGCAATTCCTATAAATGAATAAAAATGCATTCAAGATTGAAAAACATTCATTTTATCATTCCTGAATCCATATTTTTGAAAATATCAATCCATTCTCATTTACTGGGTATATAAATTAGTAAATATAATAATATCAACTTACCCGTTTTACACTATTATTAAACCAAATTTTAAATTCAATCTAGCATGTTCCACAACAAATCGTGCATTAAGTTAAATAATTTATGATATAATATATCTTATGAAGCATATTTTTATCGTTATTTTATTGCATCTCATTGTTAATTCGTACAACGACGCAAACATATAAATAAGAATTTTGCTGATTCAACAAATCATTAATTTAGTTATACTTTTGAGTTATACATTTTATAGTTTTGTATCAAAATGTATTATAAATAACACGAAATTGATTAATCAATTGAATTATATTAATTATAGAAACATACATTGTACAAATGTGAAATAAGGCTTGTATATATTATATAAAGCTAGGATTAAATGTTTGTTATAATAAAAAAAAGTAATTATTATTTATTTATATTTTGAACCTAAAAAATATATCATATACTTTTACACACAGAAAAAAAGATTTTATTTCTATTAAATATATCGTATATAATATAAATATATATTATTTATGTTATAATATAATATAACTTAATATAACTATTAATATTTATATTAATATAAATATATATATAATATATATATATATATAAACACGTGTATTTTTGTGACATAGTATTAATTAATGTGTTATACATATACATATACACGCGTGGTGCATGTCATGGGCTTTAATGATCCATAGATGACTGGTAAAACATAATATATTATAAACGCATATCTTGAAGGCCTGATGAATATACGTCTTAAGCCATAAGAAATGAACGAATCATAGACAATTATTCTCCTCGAATTCGATTGTAATTGGTCAATTTCTTACGGCTTAAAGCTTAAAACACCTATTGTAGATCCGGACTAATGGCTCCTGCACACTGGACGCGGAAACGCTTGCCGCGCGGCAAAATGTGACGCGGTAGCCAATAAGCTTACAGCTCCTAACATGTTCATTGGTTACGCGTCGCATTTTGCCGCGCGGTAAGCTTTTCCGCGTCCAGTGTGTAGGAGCCATAATGGATTAAGCCCAAGACACAGTACGAGGGAATAACAATAGCGATAGGAATAACATGATTTCAACCTATCAGAAATCGGATATATCGGAATACGCAGTTTCTGATAGGTTGAAATCGTGTTATTCCTATCGCTATCGCTACTCCCTCGCATTGTGTCTCGGGCTTTACAGTAGCAAAAAGTGACGCAATGCCCGCGAAAATGACGTTGCCCGAACGGACACCAGGCGCCTGCGTCGTCACGTCGAAATAACGTGCGTCAGGACGAACGCACGAGACGAGCCAATTCGCGGACACGCATCAGAAGGAAGTAATTGCATAGTCAAAGTCGGCAACATTTTCAAAAATATTTGATTGTTAGCACCCGATCCGAAACGCGTCCGCCGCAGTCGAGTGATTCTTCAGAACTGATAAGTGATAAAGGCATCCGAGCGACGTTTCCGAATGCAGCCGATATATGCATGAGATATTAATGTTCTATTCTATCGAGCAAAAACTATGATCGAGAACGACTTCTAATAACTCTCCGAAAGAGGTCTCTAGTCTATTCTATCAAGTCTGCAATGGCTGCGTTCAGCAGACTCAACAGTTTTGCAACCGTTTTATGATTGTCTGCTGAGATAGGACCATTCTTCTAGATCTAAAAATATGATCCAATTAGCGCGAAGGAAACTTGCAACAGTTGCAAAACAAACGTTCTGCTGAACGCAGCCATTATTTCTAGCACGAATCATGCTGGTGATAACAATAGTCATAATAGATGCGTAGCAAGTAAAAGAAGAAGAGATTACGATAATGGATTCCTACCAGACCTTTGTGCAGACATTCCAACAGGCTGTATCTACTAGAAATTTCAGTGATTTGTTGGATATTTTAAAAAAAAATGGTTATACATCCCTCGCAATTGTTTCGCTCGAACATCGTGGTAAATATTAATTATGTAAATGTAAAAATACATATGTTATTTTATAACAATATTTTATTGTTTTATGAAAAACTAAACGATTCTTATTCTTTGTGTTATATTTGAATATTAATAACTATTTTTTTTACAAATTTACGCTCAAAATTTGTAAAAGTCTTAATAATTAAAGGAATGATTTGTTTAAATTTCTAAATCTTTGAAAATTTCTACAACTTTAAGATTGATATTACGTTCCACATTAAAATATAGTTCATTTTACCAAATCTCGTTTTCTTTCTATGTGGCTGTATTATAATTTTATAATTTTTCTCTATATATTTAAAAAATTATGAACATAATTAAAAGTTATATATATAATATATATTTATTTATTTATCTATTTTAATTAATTAGCAATAATTTATCTGTTTAATATGTTGTTTTTTTTAGAATCAATTGTATGCAGCATATTTGACAGAAATAATGGCTTGCTGTATTTCCTCAATTATGAACTTGCACATCGAACGCAAAATCAAATGTGCAAAAACAAATCTGTTGATGATGCACTAATAGAAGCATTTAATTTTCTTACATTTTTCATTAACAATTTTTATACTACCCCATGTTTTGTACAGTATATTCATAATATTAAGGTAAGATCATACATTTAATATTATTTGTTTAACAGGTATTAATAGTGGTTGAAAATAATGATCAGTAATTAATAGTACCTAATGATTAGAAAGTTTAATATAATGTCATATCTGTTAATAATAAATAGTACTTTGTAATAGAGTACAAAACTAAGGAGATTTGATATCATATTTTTTATATACATATTAATATCTTATTTAATTATAATAATATTTCTGTGTGTTATATGTTGCAGGATGTGTGTCAGTTAGGATTAAATGTAAAGCATTGTTATATCGAAAAAGCTGCTCATAATACTTTTATGAAATTGATAGAATTATTCAAGGATCATGACTTAAAATTTGATGAAATAGTTCATAACTTTTGTTGGACATTCCATAAATATAACGTGAAAGGTGAGAACACATTATTTGATTTAAATTATTTATAGAATGTAATATACCAATTTTTGTTGTAGAAAAAAAATTTATATTCTGTGTATTGGGTAAAATAATTAAGCATGTTGAAAGTGTTCGCTCGTTGCAGAAAGATTTAGATGTTATTTTCGAACAACTATATCATGATGCACGTAAGGAGGTAAAGTCAACAGTAATGATTTATAAATTGTGAAAGAATTTATTAATGTTGAAGAACTAATAATTTACATGATATTTTAATAATTTTATGTGCAGTATGATTCTGGTATCATCGTACGCAATGACTTCTGTATGTATTTTGATGCTCTCTCGGACATATTGGATGGTATGGAACCACTGAATGTGTTAAAGGATAAACAACTCTCTGATTCGTATAAATGGATTAAGGATTTCAGCCAATCAAATAAACAACAAGGAGCTGATCAAGAGAAAGTTAGAACAGTTATGAAATCGACAATCAATTTTCTATGCCGTCATATGAATTTGTTTCAAGACCTGCTGTATCCTGATTGCATGTATTGGCATGATATCCTTCAACGCTTATCGCTCAAAACAACCACTTATGGCATTTGCGGACAACGCACATTGAAAAGATTTTACAAAATTATCGGACAGATTCTTACAAATCAAAATAGTGACGAGAGCGAAATATTGGTGGTAAGACATTATATTAAATAAACAAAACATTTTAATTTGTTATTTGTGACTAAAAAGAAATTCTTGTGAACTGAATCTTAAAGAACATAATAGATAATAAAATAATATTCTTCGGTTAATTCCTTTATAATTTATGATGTTTTTTTGTTTTTTTTAGAAATTTATGTACTATTTCTACAAAGAATTCGAAAAAACTAACTTAGATTTAATCTCATTGCGATTACTCGTTTATGGCTTCAGTCAAATGGCTGCGCCATGCAAAGTGCACATGACTCAATTCAAAGTAAGACATATGTATTCCATTACAACCAGTTACGCGCTTCCTCTTTGTTCCAGGTAAGATATTTTATAAGGATAATTTTAAATAATTTATATTGGAATTTTTTTTATATTAATAAGAGAGTAACAGATAATTTTTTTGTTTGTTCTTTTTCAAGCGAGCATAGCCATTCGACGCACATAGAGAGCATCTGTTGTTATCAAGAAGCGCTTTCAGAAATATTACGTCACATGACTGATGTTACAATTGAAAATATTAACATCCTCATAAAGCTTAGTATCTATGTGATCAAGAGATTCCCCGATTTAGCAATATCTAACAACGCGCTCGCCATTTCAACATTAACTAAAACTATCAGCAATCTTGTGATCGTTGATAAAGATCTACTGCAGCGATATCTAGACAGTATAGGTAAATAAATCAAATGATCTTTGGAGAATAATTTTATATTTAAATAATTTTCAAAGAATATATATATATATTTTTTTTTTTTTTCTCTTATTCGACATAATATTTTTATTCAGAATTACCCAAAGAGTAATTGTATGATAACAAAGTCTCCATACTTTTTTCCGAAAATTGCCACTGTATTAAAATCTTGTTTTTGTGATCAGTTTATGACGGTATTGCGTGGAGTTGCTCGCACACTTTGGCGCTTGACGCAGAGTTACAACGGGAATTGAACAATCTGAAACAGTCGCCAATATACTACAAGAACTACCTGCCACTGTGGACGGAGCTGTTGAACGCCGAGAGATATCGTGGACAAGAACAGTTATCGCAACATGTAGCCAACACCATAATAGATGTATGCATTACGTTGATTAATCGGCTGAACATAAACGTGAAACGAAGGAATGAGGATACCGTGTTGTCCGACGTGGCTCTGACTCAAAGCGCCGTGAATCAAGCGGACTTCCGCGTGTTCGTGAATATCGTGGACCTCTATGTCGACGTGATCGATGCGTCAGAGTCGCAGTTGTTCGCCAACACCGTACACAGATTTCTCTACGAAGTCATTCGATTGTCATACAAGTATCCGCTGATATCTGGCTTCTACAAACTGATTCGGACCGGTATGAAAGTCTTTACTCATACATTAGAGGACGAAGAGGAGAAAAGCGCAGAGTCGCGACGGGTAGAGGAGCTTCTATCTAATTACTTATGGCACACTCTCGATCTGATCCCTGCGTTCTCCAATGAACTACTGATCGCGTGCCTCTACTTTATCCTGGACGCACCCTTCGCATATGTCAAAGATATGCTGTCGCGCACACTGCCGGCGTTTAAGATCGCTTTCACTGTCGGTTTGAGCAACCTGGAACTCGCGTATACCGCGCTCATTGCCCTCGAGATATGGACGACAAAGGCACAGGAACAGAAACGAGATAAACAAATAAACAAACTGTTACGTGAGATCATCGTATATCTGGAGCCTTACTTGCGCAGCACGGAGAGCTCTGTTGAGGTCTCGCAAGACTTGATGGCAGCGAGAAAACGCGTGAAACGTGTTGAAGTGATCAACACAGATCACACACTGCGAAACTACCAGCGGCGAGTTTTGCTGTTTCTCGGATCGCTCGATCACGATATATTAACAAGTTTTGTACACGAACACGCTTCCCGTAATACTGGGGCATCCTGGGACTACAAGGAACTGTCCAAGGTTTGTAAGTACAGCATGTTCCTGGGAGATGCAGAACTAGTTATCCATTTCGACCGGATGCTACCACGGATAATTGCGTTAGCGCGCGACTCTAGCGATCGGCGCACGAAGATTGCGGCCTGCGAGGTTCTACATTCGATGATAGCTATCATTATCGGCTCACTCTTAAAGTACCCCGATTCAGAGACTCGCTTCCCCACTCTCTATAGCACTTTATGTCAGGCCGTGCTCGCCCTCGGCTGCGACTCAGACGAGGTCGTATGCGGCCTCTTCCATCCACTGGCGTTGCAGCTGATGCGCTTCTGGAGCTCCAGTCTCGAGTCGATGTCCTTGGTGATCGATTCACTGTTCGACAGTTTGACCAACGACTCGAATCCCGCTTTGCGTGAGTTCTCCGGCATGTGTCTTGCAGAATTCATGCGCTGGTCAATCAGGTATCTCATTGCGAATTAGATTTTTATAATTTTTTTTTAAGGTAAATGTCTCAATCTCAGCGATTTATAAATCAATTTGTCCATCAGGCAGAGCACGACAAACAGGATGGAACATCATGTGCGTACGATCATCAAAAAGATCAATAATCTCGCGTTGCATCCCTTGACGCGTAAACGCATAGCCGCAGCCGTAGCCTTCAATCATCTCTATGTGATTCTACGTGAGGAAGACAACATAGTGTCAATTCATTGGCTGGAGATATTCTATTGTTTTGTCCGCAGTTTAGAAGGATGCGACGATCCGTCAATCACGAATGCACTGGCCCATATCGAGAGAGTGATGAAAGTCAAAGCGGAAAGTCTAAAAATGTCCAATTCCCAACGTCGAAAACCACACGAGTTCGACAACGCGACTCTGACCTACGCTCTGTACTGGTTGCTGTCACAGTGCGGAAATCTCGACGAGAATTGCCGTGTACAATGCATGGAGCTGTACGTTAACGTGTCGCAGCATATCGACAGTTCCGCGCAGGAAACGACGCAGAACTTTGTTCATACTTACGGAATAAAGCGTCTGAATAATATCATCTTGAAAGGCTTAGAATCGAGTGTGAAGGATATTTCCGTGGCCAGTAACATGACACCGCTATTGAAAGCTCTGGATTATTACATGTGGTTGATAAACAAGGAATTGCTGCCGGTAGAAAATTTTCCTCAACATTCGTAGTTTTGCTTATCAATTCTGGCGAATAATCAAAGAGTCCTCGATGGGAACAGTTGCGATCACAATGAAATCTAAAGAACTCGAACAGCTGCAGGCGCTACAGTGCAAAGTTTTGATGACTACGTTAAATTTCATACAAGTGTTATTGAACGTTAACGTGAGTTATTTTGATTTATTTTTAATTTTAGCTTATATTGCTATATTTAATTGAGATTTATTGAATAATCAAATTAATAATAAAAATAATTAAGGCAAAATGCGATTGATCACGAATAAGTGATCAGTCATTAATTAGAAAGTGATTATATTTTAACGATTGGGATTTATTTGAATTAATGCCTATTTATGTATTGGTTGATAAATAATTTTGCAATAAAGCTTTACCAATTATTCGTTTTCCAGATCAATGTTCCGGAATCATTATGGGACGAATCGTTGTCCGCTTTAACGATTAGATGTATAATGCATCCACGAACGCTCGGTTTCGATGTGAAGAATATCAAGATGACAGATAAACTGCCACATGTCTTGGAAACTCTGTTAAATTCCATGAGATTGAGGTACAATTATGCTCTGCCGGATTTCTTTAACAAGTGTCTTTCAAATTTTATTCGAGAAATCGTCACGAAGTTTCTTGATCTACAAGATATAAGAAACGACTCCTGCGACGATCTGATCCAACACGTTAACGGTTTGATTCTATTAAAGCGGTGTGATATGTTAAACCTAACGATGTTAGAAACGAGTGCTTTCACGAACGCTGATTACACGATCGAGCAGATCTTTAAATTTTTGGTGAGCGAATGTATCGGGGAATGGGCCTGCAAGGACTTGAGTATGCAAATGATTGAGTACTTGCGAGCTCTGATGGAATTTCAGTTTTCGCTACTCTCGGCGACAATCGAAACGCCGATGATAATACCCGATGATGTTCGATCGATAATCGATATACTGATGCAATTAATGTCCAACAGTACTGTAGTAACCAGTGTGGACTGCACGATAATCACACACGGCGAACATTTTCTGAATACATTCAGGAATGTGATCTTCAAATACATGTTAACGCACGTGAGCGCGATCATGTACGTCTTCGAAAAGTCGTGTGACAATCCGTCCTTTCTGCTGAAATGGATTGAGGACATGTTACTGTTCCTGAAACAACACAGACGCGAACGGCAAGCTCACATGGACACCGTGGTCGACTCGATTCTGCAGCGATTCACTTATCTCAAGAGCATCGTCTTTAATGTGGACAGTCGCAAAGAGAGACTGATTAATATCTACAGTATCGCAGTGCATCTGAAGTCAAAGCCCACGGAGGTCTTGCATAATCATGAATTCTACCAGTGGATTCTGGATGAATTAACGAATAATAACAATCTCGAGTATAAGACAAAGATTCTTAAAAGCTTTTTCGTCTGCCTCACAGACGATGTGGCGGATCGCAACGACTTGCAGATAAGTCGGACTCTAAGAAACAACAGTCGATTCCTCTGCTCGAATCTATCTGAGATGAGCGTGAACGCCATGAAGGTGATCGATTGTTTCGAGACGCTGCTAGTATTGTTGTCGACAACCAGATCGAAGACGATGCTCAAGTACGTGATAGACTTTGCCGCCGGTACCGGAAATCGTCTCTTCGACGAAAAACTGGAGGAGCATCTGCGTGGATATTACTACGGAGCGTCCCTTGAACACGTTTTAGATTCGCTGCAAAAGACCTACTCTGCGTTCATGGAAATGAACATTACCGAAACGGAAAGACTTGACATTCTGCACGGATTTCTCTTGCCAGCATTCAAATTTTGCGACTCAGCCGCGATCGAGAGCTTTTTTGACTATAATTACAAAGTTCTGTACGATTATTACATTGATTTTTTAAATATCTCTAACGATGATGCAATCAAGCAAAAAATCGTGACGATGATTGGATATTCCCAATTACTGACGATTATGTTTGCCAGAGTGGACAAGAACAAAATACAGGCGAACCAAACGACCATACAGAATCCAGGATCTAATACAAGTATCCTGGTCAAAAGGAATGATTATCAACAACTGGGTCAGATTACCAAAAAGATGCAAATGAAGATACGGAAATTCAGGTGGTCAGTATGTCAAAAACTCGTACGTCAGTTGCAGTGTTCTTTGTATAATTGCTTGTTGGCGATCATAAGCTTGAAGGAGGATGAGTACTGCTACCGTATAGTGTTCAGTGAACCTTACGTTTGGGAGGATATTATAGACTGTAGAACGCAGTACGAACTTGATCAGATTTTCAAGGAGTATCCAAAGACCCACGAGATCACCGTCAATATCAGATCCGCGGAAGTCGAGAGTGAGGAACGACAAACTCATAGATATACCTATGTTCACAGTTACGATCTATCGGCTTGTACATTAAGCGAAGACATTAATGCCTACGATCTTAACAAATGTGTCGTGTTGCCGGCCGATTTTCATCGTTCCGCTTCGACAATGAATTCTGCCGATTCCGATCCACTTCGCACACATAATGCAACGAGCATCACTTTAACAAGCAACGATTTTGACAAGCACGAATGCATGCCGTATATTTGCGTTATATTGCGACACATCAGAAAGGTATTCGTATCGACTAATACAGAACCCAAATGGCTTACGTGTTTCCTCAACGCCATGCAGCGCGATAATCTTCATGCTAATATTCAGCTGTTCATGCTAAAAATCATTTCAAACACGGCAGACGAGGTGTTTAAGCCCTACGCCAAGTTCGCGCTGACAAGAATCATCAAGACTATTGCTAATTATTTGCAAGGAAATAATTTGAATTACATTATCACGGACATTTTGGAGATACTGATGGATTGGCACAATGTAGCCATACCAAACGACGAAGATGGTAAAGCAGAGACACAAAGACTTTTTGAGAGATTTATTGATAAAGTATTCAAAAGGAAATCTAACGATAAAGACCGTATCTACAACTATAATCTCAATCTGTTAAGGACCATGGTGGAAAAGTGGCGCAGCTGTTTGCGAATACCAAGCGATTTTCTAAACCAACAAATAACATCCGCGTCGCCGGCCGCGGTGTATCTTATCCTGGTATTTCTCGACAACAATATGACGGAGGAGATTGTCATTAGAGATGATATTGTCAATTTTCTATTGAAACCGTTGAAAAATTGGGATACACCCAATTCGGACAAGACGCCTCTGCATTGCTGCAAGTGTCTTGGCTTGTACCTATGTTTTTTGGATAACAACTATCGTGACGAGATTGAAAGAGATAACAAGAAACGAGTGGTAAAGGAGCAAATTTTCAACATCTTGGGTTCTTGGGTATTTCAGAAATACATAGACAAACAAGTGGAACGCGTCGCTGTTCTCTGCCAAACTTATCCTGAGGTGGCCCAGGACTATTTAAAAGTCGCGATCAGAGCCATGAGTACGACGAAATACCCGACGAAATGTCTAGAAATATTTGCGTTAGCGATACCCAGGCTCGACATAAAAGACGTCGTGACCAATCTGTACCACATAGGCCTGCAGAAAATCTTAAAAACTCGGATGTCGTCCTGCGAGAAGATAGCATTGCGAATCGTCCGCGACGTGGTGAACATCTTGCCGATGCAAGATCTGCCGCCTTACAAACAAGTGATCTCGTACATCAAGGACAATATCACGGAACACCGAGAACTGGTCTACGACATACTCATGGAGATCCACAAGAGATGTTCGGCGGACACCACAGTGGATAACAATGCAATCGTGCAAGATCTACTGTCCGTCAGTAAGCGAAATCTAGTGGCCGGTCTGTTGGACCCGTCTCCCGATCTGCAGGACAGAATACTGGAGTTCTGGACAAAGGAGATGAAACTGGATACAAAGAATTTGAAAGATCGATTAGTCTCGCCTTTGACCATGCCTTCGGCGCGACTAATAACAGAAGAGGACGCATTCGCACCCTTCGTGGCGTTGCTGATGTTGCAGCAGGCCACTAAATCGATACTTTACACCAAGAAGATATTTGACGAGCCTCTGCCTAACAGCAGCCGTTTCGAGGAATATAAGATAGCCGTTTCCTGGCGAAGGCGAAACCTGAGCTGCGTAACGCCAATGTTCGTCGACTCACTCGCCTCCCAAATAAGCTACAGCATCTTCTCTCAGAGTGTCGATAACGATTTAAGCGGGATATGTATAACTCCTACATTCTCTTATCCACGTCTCTTGCAAGGTTTACGGGCAACGCAGGATTTGCAGTTCGAGCCGACTCTTGATGACGACGACGATGCCGCGGATGCAGCCACAACGTTTGATATTTCATCGCACGACACTGGATTTGATCGAACGATAATCGCGTCCTCGTCGAGACAATCGCTACGGACTGCAGGGCGCGAGAGATTCACCAGGATTCTTGCGAATACGTCAAATACCACGAACTTTCGTAACGCGCAAATACAAAGAAATCTGCAACGGGAAGAAAGAATACAGCAGGAGAACATCAGACAAAGAAGCAGCGTGAAATTGTACAGGTAAGATCAATTTGACTTGACACTTTTTTTAGATCAATTCCAAATAATTCTAATATACTAATGTTTTTTTACTTTTATCCAGAAACTATAGGATCGGAGAATTGCCCGACATCGAGATAACTCACAAGAGTTTTATCGTACCGCTTCAACAGTTGGTCAAATTGGACCGGCTGATTTGCAAAGACGTGATCGTGTCCCTGTTCTGTTCACTGACCAAGGAAACGATTAATCAAGAAAATATCCGTCAGATCATCGTGGACAATCTGAAGCAAATCCTACATGATTCGTGCAAAAAGGACAGCTCTTTCAACGCTGTTATTTTAGAAACGTTACTAAAATTGACTCAAGACGCTGCTACAGTCGTCAACTGCGATCCGCAAGACGTGATGAAGGCATCTAAGGCAAATCATTTGAACGCTACTTGGAACACAGTTTACTGCCTGATGCGCAGAAGGATGACTCGTCGCCCACATCAAGCAAGAGAATGCGACTTCATGACGATGCAATTCGCTACGAGGAGATCAATAAGTGGGTGCAATTAGCGTCTCTCTATAAATCTCTGAATGATGTTGACGTCGTTCTAAGTATCTTCCGAGGACAACAATTTTTCGGCCAGAACGTGCAGGTAATTCTTACAGCATTAGATCGACATAAACAGTTTTTATCGAATTAATTTAGATATAACGAGAAATAGTTTCTTCTATTCGTAAGAAAAATCATTGGCTTTATTGGTTTTTATACATTCTTTCCATTTAAAGAAAAATTTTCCTATCCTTCTTTTTAAAAAAGTCAGATATATAATTTCTGCCGAAACATGAACTTGTTTAATAAAATAGAATTATTGGCAATAAAAATCATGTTACTCAGATTATAAAGATTACGTTATTCATCATTTTTTGTTTAGGAAGCGGCTCTCGCGGAGGTGAACGGAGATTGGATTCAAGCGAAGAATGCGTTTACAAAAGCTTATGAAGAAACATCAGATCCTTCAATAAAGGAACACTGCCTGCAAGGGTTACTTGAGGCAGTGAACAATCTCTGTGACTGGTCAGCGATCGATAAATTCGTGAAGAGCCATGCGAGAAATACGAACCTACGTAATATCTGGAACGACGCATGGAAAGACTGGATCATCCCGTATGCTTGCGATGCCTATGTACATATGATATCGGAAGATCGTGGATATATAATCGAGAAAAATTGCAGCATCTTATGCCCTTGACAGGCGAAAATCTGGTGATATTTTTGCTCAACAAGGATGTGACAAAGGCGACCGATCTATTAAATGATCTCTTGGATATGACGGGAAAGCAATGGGTTGGGCTCAATCCCCTCTGTACCGAGCTGCGAATACGCAAATTATTCAAGCTGCAAATCATGAACAATCTCGACGCTTCGCTCAAGATTCTTCGATGCACGAACAGAGCAGAGTACTTGAACAGAACGATTGCGCTATTGAATTTATGGTCGATGAAAACGACTACAATTCGAGACAATCTCATTCAGTGGAACAAATTAGTTGCTAATCGAGCATATTCCTCGATATTGTTCCAGAACAAATGTAGAAAACTGGAAATGACGAAGCGGTGTTATCAAATCAACTACCAGCTCCGATTAGACATCATCAACGCCGCGTTGAATAACAAACACCGATATATCGCCGAGAAACATCTGAATTATATAAGTGAAGTATTTCCTGAGGAATACGTTAGTTACCGGGACTTAGTATGGTTTAAAGCTAGACTCAAGTCTCTATTCGCCGATGTTGAGACCGACATTTTCAAGAAAATGTCCGATTACACTACTTCTTGGAAAAACTCGCATAGATTATTGAACGAAAACTGCAAGCTCGATGCTGACATGAGCAATGTCATCAGAGAACATATCAGCACAATGGCTTCGAAGATCGAATTCTTGAGTAGGGAAGACCAGGAGTTTACAATAGCATTGAAGTGCAAGACTACGATCCTGCGGGACATAGGAAAAGTAGGAGACAGGGAAGAAATATCAGCGGTACCAGGAATACCAGTAGGTGACCTGGATAAAATCCGAAAACATTTGCTGGATTACAGTTTGAAGAAGCTACAATCTTGCTGCGAGGACACGACCACTGCCAATATTGGCAAGCACTATTGCGCCTTGGCTAAACACTGTTACGGCAGACTAATGAGCACTGATGTAGAAAGCGACGAGATCTTCCAAGAATTTCTATTGTCCACTTTGAAATCTATGTATCATGATTGTCTCGAAGCTACACATTATTTCCCCTGTTTGCTGAGATCTGAACGATTACAGAACGACGAAACGCGAGAAAGGTTTGTCCGAGAATGCAATGAATTGCGGCCATGGCTGTTTCTGCGCTGGCAAGACTTGCTTTTTTCCCATCTAGGAACATCGTCGATCTCAATCGCGATTATGCCGATCATCGAGAAGCTCGCCAAGACTTATCCCGATGCAATTATCTATAATTATTACCTTACCGTCGAGAGAAACCCCAGTATTCTTGAGAATGTGAACATTCAGCGAATACGTTCGCTCTTACACGACAAAGCGGAAGAGTACGAGCGGTTCTTGCGAGCGATGCAATACGTGGTGCAACCGAAACTATATTTGAAACATTTCCTCGACAAGGCGATGAAAGATCTATCTCCAGGGAATACGACGGAAATAATCGAATCGTTATTACAAAAAGTCTATCCAAATTCCAGTACAGGCATAATAGAAGGAAAGAACCCGCGACCAGGCGCTATTTTTACAAATTGCGAAGAAATGAAAAAGTACGAGAGCGACATAAAATCCTTGAATTCAAACGATGATCTTGAAGCCGTGCGAAAAGGAATGGCAAAACTTAAGGAATCATTGATCAGGTCCATTCAGAGGCAGAACAATAGAAACAATAGGAAAGGGAGCACAAGTGAGCTGAATAATTACAGCCCGTTCTTATACGAATACGTCGATGGCGGTATCGAGATACCCGGACAATACACTGGTGACAGGGAACCCATACCGCGTTACCACGTAAGGATCGCGCGGTTCGAACCGCAGGTGGAGGTCATGCAATCGCTGCGCAAGCCGATTCGCATCAGCATGATAGGCAACAATGGCAAGGAGTACAAGTTTCTGGTGAAATTTGGTGAAGATCTAACGATAGACCGGGGCCTACAGCAATTATATTCCACTATGAACAGAACGTTGCACAACGATCCCGGCTGCAGACAGAGGCGCTTGGCCATCGACACGTACGAGGTAATACAACATGTTTATCTTCCAACTTAAATACTGTTTACATGTCTTTGCTATTGTAACGCATGAACTTTCCTTTTGCAGGTGATTCCACTATCGAGCTCGTTCGGTCTCATACAATGGATTGAAAACACAAGATCTTTGGATGAACTAATATGCTTAACCCTGTCAGATAATGAGACAGATCGCTGCAAGAAGATTGTTAAGGAATACGCGGAATGGATACAGAAAGCGGCGCCCGAAAAACGACTGATCCCCGATTGTTATATAGAAGCTGTATCTAAGTACAACCAGCAAACGGTCACGAAGAAGATGAATTACCTGATTAGAGAGACGAAGCAAACAGCTCTACGTGAGGCGTTTGATGCGATCAGTCAGTCCCCGGAGTGCTTCGTTACGCTGCGACGCAACTTCATCATCAGTTACGCGACCATGTGTGTAGCGCATTGGCTCGCAGGAATCGGTGATCGCCATCTACAGAACACTCTGGTGCACGTCGCGACCGGACGTTGTTTAGGCATCGATTTTGGTTATGCTTTCGGCAGTGGTATACGTGCGTCGGTACCGGAACTCGTACCATTCCGTCTGACACCACAAATCCTCGAGCTACTACGACCCTTCACAGAGCGGGACCTCCTAGCGACGATCATGAATCATACAATGCAGGCCTTGCGCGATGACCAGGGTCCGATCCTCGCTTGCACGGACATCTTCGTTCACAAGCCCGTCCAGTGGAACATTAATGATGACGAGATAATGAAAAATAGCGATGAAAATATTGACGCAGGTATATAAAAGAATACACAAGTTGCAATGTGAGGATATTATGTAAATTTTATAAAATGGTTGATTCGATAAATAAGATCAACTTTTGATGGCAAGAGTAAAATAATAACTATATCATAAAAATTATAGGAGCTATTTAGAAACAATATATTTTTTTAAAAATCATAAATATAAAGATAGATATTTATAGGATACATTGTAACAGTATATGTACACGCACGCACGCACAGAATGACAAAATCGAAGAACTAAATAGCTATTATGTGTGTAATAAGTGAAAAATAACAAGAATTAGATACAGTATTGTAAAAGAAATCCATCATTTTTGTCATCAAACTTGCCTATATAAGAGAAATAACACATTTTATGATTTGCAGATTTAATATGGTCCAAAAAAAATATTGAGATAGTTGCGAAAAAGTTAAATGGAATCCATCCTTCAATTATTACATTAGAACAATTGAAAGAAGTGCAATCGTCAAAAGCATTAAGAGCAATTGACAATAGACACTTTGCGAAATATGACGCCATTGTCTCCGGAAATGATGAGATCAAACAAGCGCGAGCAGATATAAAAAAGGACCATTTGACTACTGTAGAACAGGTAATTTTGTTACTAAAAATTTGTTACTGAATCTTTTTTTATGGCTCACCATTAATGATCGATCATATTTTAGGTGGATTGTTTATTGGATCAAGCAAAAGACTTGAATATCTTGGGCCGTATGTACCAAAATTGGAGACCCTGGTTGTAAGGCTGTGTAATATTTATAAAATATATGAATAATATGTTTGAAGTATCAATGATTTAAAAGTATAAAAATTTTTTTAATCAAATTGAGAAAATTTAAACCAAATTTATATATGCCAAAGAAGAAATTATTACAACATTAATTGGAAAAAAATTAAACTCGTCTATAATTATAATAAAGATATATATGTATATACATATGAAAGATACAGTTTATAATTTCGTTTATTAACATAAATAAAATTTCTGCATTATAAATATAGTTTATATATGTCAAATGTATTAATAGAGCAAATGGCTATTATCATATATATTCGTGACTGTACAAGATATGTTTGATAAGTTAGAATTTCGTAGAAAATTGTTACAATGATGTATTAAAATATTAGACACATTTATATGTTTCTTAAAGTCAGTATTTCTAGTTTTGCTAATTCATTGTGATACAATATTGAAATATTTTCTATATCTTTCTAATAAGACAAAGTTTATAAGATTTTATAAATGTTAAATGTAATTAATAGATTGTTAAGAACTATATAATTAAGTATATCAAGAAAAAAAATATATAAAAACCTCTAATACTTAGAGGAGAAAAAGTGAATAATTTTGGATTTTATTACTTGCAAATTATCCCGACACAGAAAATTTTGTTTCAAAACATAAAAAAAAAAATATGTGAAGTAAACTGCCAGTTTGTTCTTTTGGAAATATTCTAAGCAAATTGTTTGGATTAAATCGTTTTTAATACAAAAAATAGAGAACAATTTATGGATTCGTGTGTTTATCTCAATGCTGTATATATCCAATGATACATGCAATAATTTTCCGTGAGTTTCCACAATTTCAGCAGAATTAAAGAAATTGCTAGCATTAAATCTCAACAATATGTCATCCATATACGTGGAACAATAATATACCGTGGGTTTACTATTTTACAGGGATGCACCGGATCGTAAAATTACCGAATATTGAATATCCGGTGTCATATTCTGTCCGGATATCCGATATTCAATTGGATATCTGATAGGACAATTATCCGACTGGATACCGGATATTTCTCTGGATATTTGGTTTGATATCTAATACATGACTTCAAAAAAAGAAAAGGTTAGGCAGAATAAAATTCGGCATCACTAACTCAAACTTTCAATATAAAATTTTAGTCGGATATATTACCGGATACTAATGATATCTGACTATTCGACCGGATAGTAAAAAAGTATCGGATAATACCGAATACCGGATATTTCCTAGGGGGATATCCGATGCATCCCTAATTTTAAAGATATAATTTGTACAATCACGATGAGATTTGAATTATTAATACTGCTCAGTCAAAGTCAACTATTTCTAATCTATTCGTAAGAGGAAATGCAAGTGATAGCTTTCCGAAATTACTTTAAGCTAAGAAAGCTTATATAACATTATATCAATAATAAAATATTCTGATATAAAATAGCATTTTACTTTATATCTAATGTCTAAGGTTATGCTTTATAATGTCATCATTCTTTCCTTCAACATAAAAACACAGATTTGTACAGCAAATAATAACAGCGAATAACTTTACAAATTATTCTTATGTATCGCTCTTCCATAGTTTGATAGTTTTATCATTCTCAAGAGCAGCCGAAGCTATAATGTTGTCCGTCGGATGACATGTTGTGCAAAGTACTACATCTGAAAACGACACGTGCACACAGTTAACGAGTAAACTATTAAAAAATTCGAAAAAATTATTAATAAATATAATCTCAAAGAAAAGGCATTTACAGATATTGAATTTTTTTATCTAAATCATGCTAGATAGAAAATTTTTTTTTTTTTCAAGTGTATATGTATATTTCCATATGAAGATCTGAAGGTTTAATTTATTCAGAGTAACGTTCATTCTGATTTAATTAATTAATGTCATTTCTTAATGTATGCTTACCTGTGTGTCCTTGTAGCTTTTGTACGATCTCTTTCGTCTGTAAATTCCAAATGTATACCATATGATCTTCAGAGCCGGATACAATCCACTGTGAGTAAAGAAACTGTTAAAATGATCCTTAAAGAGAGAGAAGGGGAGGGGGAGGGAAAGAGAGAGCGAGAAGGGGAGGGAGAGAAGGAGGGAGGGGGAGAGAGAGAGAGAGAGAGAGAGGAGAGAGTCCTCTACATAATCTTAATTGTTGCATTTGAGATTGATCAATCGTCCCTATACGCACCTTTCCACCTGTTACAGAGAAGTTCGCGAAGATGCAATATTTCTCATTTTTGTGACCGCTATACGTTTTCAGGCATTTTCCTTTACTATAATCCCACAGCTTCAATGTGTTGTCCAGTGTTGCTGCCAAGATGTACTTGCCATTCGGCGAAAATTTGACAAATGATACTGGAGGATTGTCGTCGTCTATTAGAGTTTTTAGACACTGTCCTGACGCGGTGTCCCAAATTCGACTGTAAATCACGTATGTTAATATTATACAATAAATAAATTTCCAAAGAAAAGACATGCGGACCTGTTCTTCTCACAGATCGCCACAACTGTAAAATTTGATGTTGCAATACTTACCACAATCCATCGTAACTACTTGAGACTATTAAAGAGCCATCCCTATTGAAATGCACTGCGCTTACAGGATCTGAATGTGCCGGCAAGGTTTTAAGGCATTTTCCACTTCTCACATCCCAAATACGCACACTTTCGTCAAACTAAAAAATGACAAACCTTTTAAACCTTGTGATCTTATTCTTTTTGTAATTACATACATAATCCCATCATTCACATTTTAATTTAACAATAGACCAAATATTTTGCACAGCTTATTAAAAACATTCATTATTAGATTTTGTGTAAGAAGATAAAAATGATAGGAAAAATAAATTCTAAAATCATTACAGAAAAACTATAACTTAATTCTCATAGTTTATATTTTGATTTCTAAATTGATATTTTGAGTTTTAAAACGCTAAAATTTAAGAGGATTATTTTTATATAATTAATAGAGAACAAATATATGTAATTAATTTATGTTACTTACAGAACCAGAGACTATGAGGTTGGATTGTGGGTTAAAATTACAACAGAAAACGTAATTACTGTGACCCTTTAATGTTTTTAAACATTTACCCTGAAAAATAAGAGATTCCAAGATTAATACATAAAAAAATATGCAATATTTAAAAAAAATTTTAATTTATACCTATTAAATTAAAATATAACTTGAAACAATTCAAAACATGATATCACTAAGAAAATATTTAATGCCGACAATTAGAAAATTTTTGGTATAACTGGAAAACTGTCGAGATTTCAAAGTGAACTTAATTATCATTAAGTTCACTTTTTTCTAATTACAAAGAATATCCTGTATAATGGAATACTTACAGAACTTAATTCCCATATTTTTAAGGTCTTATCATCAGAAGCTGATACCAGCAATCTACTATCACTAGACCATGCTACATCAGAAATACCCAGCTTATGACCAGCTATAGTCTTCTCGAACTTTCCATCATAAGAACCCCAAATTTTGATAAGCTTATCAGCAGCTGAAAAATTAGAAACGTATATCAAAAAATCATTAGTCTATCATTAGTGTATCTCAAATCTTGTAACCAATGTGTATATTCTGTATCCAGATAGCTAAGTTCCTCAGCATAAGAAATAGTTGTTTGACACAAGTTTCCCTTCAACTGTCATCATGTTGTTGTCACCAGGACAATAGTAATTTCGTTTAAGACAACTTAAAGGAAATTATGCTGACAACAGTTTCCTATGCAAACGAGCAGAAAGGCTGTAACATATTCATATTACTATAAAAGTGGCCACAATCTATTTGTAAAAAGGAATTGTTGCCTGAGTGATGCCATCAAGTTGCTTATAACCGTTAGTGGCTATAAAAACCAATCCAATAGGCAAAATTGGTGTTTTCTTCAATATTGCTGGTAATTTAAGCAACTTGATGTGACTATTTGAGTAACTTTTAATGATAATATTGGTATCGTTATATTGTTGTTGTCCATGTATATTACATATATACAGTAAAAAAGCTGCATAACGACAATATAATGATAATAAATTGTCGTTAAGAGTTTCAGAATACAGGCACTGATCTCTAAGAATCCATAGTTACCTGAGCTAGCCAACCATTCTCCATTGGGACTGAATTTAACGGATGACACTGCCTTAGTATGACCCGCCAAGGTATACTTCAGCGTATAATTTGATTTCTGTAAACGAAAAAGCAAATATGTCACTCCTGCATTTCACTTTCGTACAAAAACGACAACGTTATAACAACATTGTAAAGTAACATTAGTCCAACAGTTAATAGGTCTGTTTTTATTCCTATACTAGACTGCACTAGAACTCTCTCGTTTTCGTCAAATATCAAACATATCTATTTCATTTCACTTTAAATTTCAAAAGCGTTCAAACACCAAAAACAGACCTCATATTTGATTGTAAACATCATTTTTTGTTATATATATTCCACCATGGACATATGTAACCAAAAACAGAAATAGCTTAAAAAACGAAGTTTTAATGAATCTGAAAAATACACAGAAATGCCTTGTCGGCTTAAAGGTAGAAAGAAAAGTAACCAAGAAGACCACCGTAAAAGCAACTTTGTATGATAGAATTAAAATTACAACAGATAAACGGAACACTTACAGGGGTTTTACTTTATTTATCACGGGTTTTTGTAACACGTATATACAGATCAGCGAAAACAAGTTTAACAAGATTTTGTTCGATATATTTCGTTTGTAACTTGAATGTAAATCCAGCCATCTTAAATTGTCCCCGATTTCTGCATCGAGGACTTTATCAAAGAATAATCTAGTCATTTACTCGTATATATTACCTCGTTTAACATTCATATCTCGATTAACCGAACCGGCGTATTGACGTGAGTTTAACCTATATATATCCTTTACCATATGTAAATTCAAATACGCATGTATTGTATACTTTACCACTATCGCATTTTTCGTCCCGCTGGCAGCCGCGCTGGAAGAATTATTCACGGACGTTTGATGTCCCGGCGATGGACCGAGGGGTACCATATTTCCCAACTATTTGCTGACGAAATTTACAAACACAACAATGCACAACGGCGAGCAACCCGTAGAATGTAACAGAACGTATTAATGTAAGCACGCTACGACAATCAAAATCGACCGAATGCTCCACACTTGCTACACTTAGGGTGCCGTCACATGCGGCGTAACCTGCGTAAGCGAACCCCTGCGTATTCTAGTAATTTACTAGAATACGTTATTTTTTATTTACTAGAATACGCCATTCTGGGGTGCGTTCCAAAACTCGACTCTGTCAAGACTCCGAGTACCTTTTATCCTTGTTCAACATTCGGTGAAGAACAAGGATAAATGATACTCGGAGTTGATAGAGTCGAGTTTTGGAACGCACCCCTGAAAGCCGGCATTCACATTGGGCGTATTTCGCGGAAGATTAGAGAAATGTTGTCCAGGAAAAGATAATTTTCAAATAAAAAAAAATTATCTCAAGCATAATTATATGTGAAATATATACAAATTGAAAAAAAATGTATAAATGTATAAAAGAAACTTGTATTACATATACAATCCTTACCATAAATCTGTTCGCATTGATTTTACTTTTTGCACTCACTTTTCTTTTCAACGCTCGAATATGCATCTTCACATTTTAAATATAAAAATTTTGGAGGATTTCAGAAACACAAACCTCATGGTGGAAGAAAACCATCTTACATTCATATTGATATTTCGCGTATGTAACTTTCAAGTAATATTGCATATTTCATGTTGGGATCAAAATAACAAAAGACCATCATTTTAATTATCGTTTTATATATATACATATATATAATTCAATAAGTGAAAAATATTACATTAAAAATATATTATATTTTTAATATTTCTTCAAAAAAGTACATGAAGTTGTTGTGTAGCTTATATATAATTAAAGTATAAAATATAATTTGTATAATGAACATAAATATATACATTTTATAATAAATATACATATAATTTGTATTCTAGATCCAATCGAGACATCGAATGCCCAAGCACACAGCGCTTACAAAGTGTTAACAAAGTACTAAAAAAGCTCATATAATTGCTTTTTTAGCGCTTTACAAGCGCTGCTGTGCTATTTGGGTGGCTTGCCACTCGGTGTGGTTGACTCGCGTCGCGATCTGGATTCGATTCCACCTGCGCCCCATATACGCGATTTTTCGCGTTCGCCGTTCGGATTCGGCGTTAAACTGTAGGTCAATGGATATATGTATTATGTATGTAACCTCCAGACTGAGAGTTGGACATTAGGCTAATTCCGGAAAAAAAATCCATTATTATTGAAATCCCATTAGAGGCCTTATGCTCACGTAGAAGTTAAAGGAACATACATACATAGATCTAACCGCATTTAGTAACAAAAATACGATTCATAATACACACAAATACAAAAGAAGAAATATACATAAAAATAACGCATTGCAGATATTTATGCACGATAAACTGGGATAGATTTGGCAACGTTATTTTTGAAGCAGCTTACTATCCTGTAATACAATTCTCTGTTAAAAATTATACGATAAAGAATTGCTACAGAATAAAAATTTGCAACTCAGTGAAAGGTCATAAATAATCACTGTCACTCAGAAACACGGACCATTAATATCATCATGATTTAAGGAATATTAAATTTCAAAAGATTAAAACAATATCAATTTAGTTTCATTAAAAATATATGTTTCAAACTTAAACTTTTTAAATAAATTAATATTTAATGATAAAAAGTATTTAATATTAAATACAGAGAATTGAGTACTTAAATTAAAAAATTTATTTCTAAATTTAGTATTAAAATGTTAACAATAACGGAAAACACAATATTACTTACATATTATTTCACAAGAAAAAGTTCTTTCAGTGCTGATAGTTCTTTTCAAACAAGATTGAATGAATCAATCAATGAATTCAATCTCTTCATTCTGCATGCTGTTTTCCTTTCCTATAATTGTATTATTTCTTTTTCAGTAAACTGTGTGTCATGGACGAGATAAAATTCATACAAGATAAAAATTTATAACAAGAAATCAATTAAAGGATAATAATCACTGTTACTCAATAACACGGACCTCAATATCATCATAATCAAGAAATTCTAAGCATAAAAAAAACTACATAAATATTGTACAAGCTTATACAGGATTGTTAAACACTTACCTCGAAACTCTCTCAGATCTTTGTGAATGTTTTCTTTTGGAATTCGAGACTGATTTATATCGGCTATTTTTAAAAAATGGGTTATTCCACGAGTCAGGTTATACCAATTTCCTTAAAAAATGCTCCTACTTGTGCAGATTTTTTAATAATCTAAAAAATAAAATACATTTTACTGATCTTACAGTCGTCCAATACACCATATAAATTATATTGTGAAAGGTTAGTCAGAGATTGGTTATAAAATCATTGATAAATCAGTAACACGGACCAATCAATTACATCATTTAAATAATAAAAAGGATGCTAAATACTACAGAAAAAATTCATGGTTCGGATATATTAAAGCCGAGACACTACCGTGTTTCTTGATTGTTAATATTAAACACTTACCTTGAAACTCTCAGATCTTTACAGACGTTATCTTTTGGAATTCGGGAGATTTATATTGGCCATTTTACAAAAATGGTTTATTTCTTTCCACGAGTCAGGTTATATCAATTTCCTTTAAATATGTTTTCTCTTGTGCAAATTTTTTAATAATCTAAAAAAATAAAATACATTTTACTGATCTCACAGTCATCCAATACGCTATATAAAATATATTATTAAAAATTAGTCAGAGATTGGTTAAATTAATCATTGATATTGGTGGATCCATATATTCGTTCGGTTTTTGTTAGTAGTGCAAATTTTTTCCTAATATCTCCGGTTCTGATTGTCTAATCGGGCAATCCAAATATGTTTTGGAAAGGTGACAATCCACTCTTTTCATCTGTCAAATTTGGTTTCATTGGCATTAGTTTTGTTTGTGCTACAGGCCTGTGAACATGTCGGAGAATAAGGTGCATTTTCGGCACATTTTGCTTTATTACTTCAAGAGAGGCAAGCGAGCTGCGGAGGCCCACCGAAAGATATGCGGCGACTACGGGAACAATGCCTTAACAGAACGTGCCGCTCAGAAATGGTTTGCCAAATTTCGTTTCGGAGATACGAGTCTTGAAGATGGACCCCGCAGCAGTCGGCCCACCGAGGTTGAATCAAATGATATCAAGGCACTGGTTGAGCAAGATCGGACGCTAAAGGTGCGAGAGATTGCGGAGACACTTAAAATAGGTTATGGAATCGTACAAAGGCATTTGCAACAGCTTGGCTACGTGTCCCGCCTCGATGTTTGGGTGCCGCACAAGCTGACCGAGGAGAACCTGGCCAACTGCATATCCATCTGCATGCCGTCGAATGCCACTCCGAAGGCCGGCCTGCATCCGAAGAAGATTTTGCTATCCATATGGTGGGATCATCGTGGTGTGCTGTTTTACGAGCTGCTTCCTCAGGAAAAAATGATCGATTCGAAGGTCTACTGCACGCAGCTAACGAAATTGAATCAAGCATTGCGACAGAAACGTCCAGAACTGGTCAATCGCAAAGGTGTCATATTCCACCATGACAACGCCAGACTCCACACCGCAATAATCACTCAGCAAAAATTAGTGCAACTTGGCTGGGATGTTTTGCCCCATCCACCGTATTCACCAGACCTTGCGCCATCCGACTACCACTTGTTCCGGTCCCTGCAAAACTCCCTCAACGGAAAATCGTTCGCTGATCAGACAGCTGTGAAAACTTACCTCGACCGGTTTTTTGCCTCTAAGCCCCAGACCTTCTATGAGAGCGGAGCTATAGAGCAATAATGAAATTGTTGGAAAGATGGCAAGAGGTCATCAACAAAAACGGAGAATATATCATTGATTAAAATTCATCCTTTGTATGAAAAAAACTTGTTTCATTTTAACCTTCAAAAACCGAACGAATATATGGATCCACCTATATATCAGCAATACGGACCAATCAACTTCATCATTAAATAAAAATAAGCAAAAGGATGCGAAATACTACACAGAGAAAAATTCATGGTTCCGGTATATTAAATTAATAAAATACTCCAAAGCACGTGCCACGTGGTCGGATGGTTAAGGACGCAGCCGTTTGTGGCCAGCAAATTTCTAGTTTTTGTAAAGACTGAATGATTGAGAACGAAAAAATGAAATTGGCGAAAGAAAAGATTGAGCGATGTATAGAAAAACATTTAAAAAATAAAAGTTTCTTACCATCTTGTATCTGCCCCACGATTTTTCACGCGAGAGAATCGAACCGATGCGATGATTCACCCTATCCGTCCATAGAAGAAATGGAACCAGTGTTGCCAGCGGGGACGCGTTTTCTCGCGCGCGCAACTTCAATAACGTATCAAGTTCACAAGAATACGGATACCTTTAGAACCCGTATTCTTGTTCCAGATAAACTACTAGATTTTATAGAGAGATACATAATTATTAAGCTAATAAGTAAAACAATGTAATTAAAATAAGATAAAGAAATTATAAATATAAGAATAATTATATGTAATTAATATATAATAGAAACGTAGGAGGAAGAGAAGAGAGAGGATATTAAAATTAAATAATTTTAATCATCTTTTTACATATTTTAAATAAAATATTTTATTTGGCAGAATCATAAGAATACCAACATTTGTTGCAAGAATAAGGAAAACTGCCAAAAACCTTACCAGTATTCTTTACAAAAATATATTTTATAAATATGATTTATAATAAAATAAAATTAACTCAATATAAAAAAAATATTTTATTTAAAATATGTAAAAAGATGATACAAATTATTTTAATATCCTTCCCCATGTTTCTATTATATATTAATTACATATAATTATTCTTATATTTATAATTTCTTTATCTTATTTTAATTACATTGTTTGTTTTACTTATTATAAGCCTAATAATTATGTATCTCTCTATAAAATCTAGTAGTTTATCTGGAACAAGAATACGGGTTCTAAAGGTACCCGTATTCTTGTGAACTTGATACGATGTTGAAAACGTCTCCGCTGGCAACAACGAATGGAACGTTAACGGAAATCAGTGCTTCTTCAACGCAAGAAACCTCCCACTATTCTACCTTTATGACTTGGTAATAAAATCAACCAATCACGATCGAAAGTTTTAAAATGGCAGTCGTTGTTTCCATCGTTTTCGACATTTCTCGACTGTAATTGGCCACTTCTTTTACTACTGAAGTCATAAACTCATAATGTTACATATTTCCGTAAATGGCTACAGCTCTGAAGATAATTTCGATTAATTTACGATATACGTAAAAATTTGTAACAAATAAAATTTATTTTGTATTATTTTATTAACGTGGATAAAATTAATAATTTTTTTGTTACGTGTGAAAAGATTAAGGACGACGAATTATATAGTCGGAAATTTTATTGTAATTCTAACGATTAAATTAAATGGTATTTAATCGAAGTTAGCCTTAGATAGATGCAATGCAAAGAAAATACTTGAGAAATACACATAAATTTTATTCCAATTATTATTTATGCTAGTAATCATATTATAATAAAACAAATGTATAACAGACCTTTCTCACTTTTTAAACTATTCTTCTTAGAGTTACTGAGTTATTTAAAGTTTCTCTCTCTGCTTCAAGTACATTGTTTAAAATATCTTAATATTGATAGTTGTTCTATCAATATTACTTGTGATAAATTCCTGATAATCTTATCTCTGTTGAAAACCATTGACGACACATCATGAAAAATATAATTATTTATAAGAGATCCGGGTTTGACTCCCGGCCGAGGTAATATTTTTCGCAATAAGTTTAATTACAGTTTTTTAGCACATTAATATCTTTGAAATATGATGCCTGATTGAGCATCAAAATTATTAGAATTTAATTTAATTCGCGAAATTTACTGTAGTGGTTTAATTGTGTTTAGTCCGGAAATATTTCGGTGCACAGTTTGTTAGACTACAATTGTGGTATATATGTCAAGTACATATATATCATATTTAGTGATTCAAGATTGAATTATTTAAAGCATTTTAAGATCTAGCTTCGACTCTTATTTATATAGGACTCTTATTTATCGGTTGTGTCTCTCACATACACGGTCTAAAAATTATATTATAATTATTTATTTTTCGTTATCATAATATTTTACATTATTGAGCTCTCGCAACATTCTCATTGGAATGGTACCTAATATAATAAAGTAGCCTCAATATGGCCGAAGGTGTCACACCTGAGATTTTATTAGCCGCTGCAATCTGCAAAATAAATTTCTCATTATAATACAAAAAAATACAAAAAGTGTTAACAAATAAATATTTAAAATAAAAAAGAATTTTGCTTTCATGATACAAACAAAAAGTCAATGCTTTTACTGAAGAACTATTAGCATTGGAAAAATTTACCGTGCGTGGAAGATGTTTCGCAAGTTTTTCTCGTTCTTCATTAGATAAATTCAAATTAGGACTGTAACAGAAATGAAATAAATAGTTAGTAATTTACTTGAAAGATTATCAATTTTCTTCTCAATTTTATAATGCAATAATTAAATAATCGAACAACAGAATAAAGCTTTGACCTTTACCTATTGTAGTTGATATCGCTAGGTATAATCATCTGCTCGTTTCTCCTGATATCATTCACTTGATCTTGCTGCTTCGCAACAGCGAAAACATATTTCGTCTCTATCTGAAAGTTTAATCATTGCCAATGTTTCAAAAATATTAGAAAATATGTATTTTACTTAAACGCGTTTGATCGAAATTTCTAAAATTTTTATTTTGTTTATACACAAGCTTTTGAATTGCCTTGTCTCTTTCAATATGCGTTCAATTAATTTGCAAACCTCTATTCTTCTCGCCAGACCGGGATCTCCATCGAGATGTCCTAATTGCGGCAACTGTTTTATTAGTTTTGAGAATGTCACTTCCTCATCTGTTATGGACAGCATATCGAACGCTGACTTGTGTTTAATGTCCTTAGAAGTTTTCATTTCTAACAAACGTCGCCATTTGTTGGTCGACCGCACATCGCTCTTGAGTATCTGTACAGCTTCTTGCATTTTACGAAAAACCTCTCTCGTTTTCTCGATCCTTTTGCGGGAAACGCAGCCTATCGCGTAACCCTTCTCTGTCAATCTCTGATCAGCGTTGTCGGGACGTAGACTCACTCGAAACTCTGATCTGCTAGTGAACATTCTGTACGGCTCTGTGGTACCCCCCGTCGTCAGATCGTCGATAAGAACACCAATATAACCCTCGGTTCGACTTATCAAAAGTGGCGGTTTCTTAAACACCTGGATATACACAGAGATACAAACGTACTTACAAACATGTCTATATAATTGGCTTTCTAATTGGCAGTATCGCAAAATAATGAAGCGTTGCAATTCTTTACAAATTAAAAAATCATAAATCATTCTTTTGGAATAAATTGTATAGCTTATCTTTTTCGGGATAAAATGAAGATTTACAATCAGTGTAAATAAAAAAAAGACTAAAATGAACAAGCCAAATTGTTCATGAGAAATTTTAATTCATGTGATTTTAATGAAAGGCCACACGAAATTTGTTTTTTATCCATTGGAAAGTATTAATCTTAAATACTTTCCATAATTACCTTAGCAGCTGCGTTAACACCCGCGACGATACCTTGTGCGGCTGCTTCTTCATAACCAGTAGTGCCGTTTATTTGCCCAGCGAGAAACAGCCCTGGAACCTTTTTGGTCTCCAGTTGGATGGTCAATTCTCTGGGGTCTACATAGTCATACTCGACACCATAACCAGGTTTGACTATTCACATATAAATGCAAATGAAATCAGGTTTGACTATTCACATATAGATGCAAAGGGAATCAGAAAGATTTTGTAATATAAAATCATAATAGAAATAAAAGAATTCTATTATAATTTCAATTTAAGGAAATTACCTAGACGAGCATTTTCCAATCCTGGAATACATTTAACGAGTTCCACCTGCTTCTCTTCCGGTAGAGTACACGATAATCCACTCGGATAAATCAACGGTGAATCCAGACCTTCTGGCTCCAGCCAAACCTGATGTTTAAGCGCCTTAAATCGCAGAATTTTACTTTCTATGCTTGGGCAATATCGCGGACCTGTTATCTCCTCCGTTACGTGTAAATTACAATGCATATTATCCTTTATGATCTTTGCGACATCTTCATTGGTATACGTCAGATACGTTGGTATTTGCTGATCAGGCGGTAGCCAAACGTTATCGCTCATGAACGAGAATGGTATAGGAGAATTGTCCGGCGGAAATACCATACATTTGGTGAAGTCGATGCTTTCTTTCTCCAATCTTGGCGGCGTGCCTATAAAAATATATACATATAGTTCTAAATTAATATGTAGTTATATATATAATTAATATTATGATAAAGTTTTTGACATAAAGGCAAATTAATTAAGGCATATTAATTGTATAATACCAAAGAAAAAATATTCATTGAATGAATATAATACATATTATGCGAATTAATTAAAAACGTATTGTATGAAACGTTATTCTTACCAGTTTTCAACCTTCCTATTTGAAATCCAAGTCTGTCGAGTGTATTTGCTAAACCAATACTAGGTTCATCGTTCAATCTACCTGCAGGCCTTTTTTCCAATCCAATGTTTATTTGGCCTTTCAGAAAAGTTCCTGTGGTTATAACTACCGCATTGCCAAATATCTTCGTTCCGTCTTCTATAAAATAAAACGATTAGTATGCGACATCTTACATAAAAAATAAATTTACCGAATTAATTATTTTAATTATTTTTATTCAAATCTCAATTCTTTTATTTATTTTATTATGAATTTTAAAACATACTGAGAATTACTCCTTGACAGGACAGAGAATTGTTCTCCAAAATCAGATCTTCTACAGAGGATTCATAAATATGCAATTTAGGCATATTGAAGAGTTCTGCTTGAAGATGTTTCTTGTACAATTTTCTATCAATTTGAGCTCTGAGACCCCATACTGCTGGCCCCTTACTCTTGTTCAAGACTCTATAGAATATTCCTGAAATATCACATATCCGACAACATACTCCATCTAAAGCATCCACTTCCCTCATCAAATGGCCTTTTCCAATTCCACCAAAGGAAGGATTACATGACATCTCTCCTGCAAATACAATCATATTCAAATCAATTAAATCATATAATCTTATTTCGATCAAATGCATTTCATATACAACGATTTTCAGTAGATTTCAACATTACTATGTTTAAGCATACGCACCTATAGAACTTTTTTTCTGAGTAACCAACAGCGTCTTTGCGCCCATTCTAACAGCAGCGGTAGACGCTTCCGTTCCGGCATGACCGCCACCAACGACAATCACATCAAATTTGGTTTCATTCGTATTTATTAGTTGTCTCAGTAAGCGTTTCTGTTCGATAAGACTATTGCACCACCGATTTAACAAAGACGATCTGATTCTTGTAAATATCATTTTGTCTCGTTGTCACACCTTTCGTTTGTATTTTACTTTCTGCAAAGATATTTGACCGTTCTTAAATATCAGAGAGAAAATATTAAAAAATAATGAAATCAAATATCGACATATTATGGCTTATTATAGTTTTATAAATTATTTATCAATTACTGCTTATCTAATCTACATGCTAATATCTAGGTGCACATATTAACATATCTAATCACCTAACTCAGATCTGTCCAATTTTAACTCCGAAGCGAAAATGCAAAGCTATCAACGCAAAAAAATTCAAATCAGACGCTTATCAACACTTTACAATCCCCGAAATCTTATCCATATTGAATTGTTTTGTATCAATGGCTTTGTGTTTTGACTTCAGAACTAAAATTAGACAGGCCTAACTTTTCTAATACAAAAATCTTATTTTAACTTATCTCGTGTTATAATATCATGATTTTCTTTCAGCAAAAAAGGAATTTATGCTGTAATTAACAAGAAGATAGATACAAATCGAGTATCCTGGGAGTATCGAGTATTTCTGGGAAATTTTTTACGAAAAAAAAACATCTAAACATGAATGTTTTTATTGCAGAAATTACAATATAAATAAAAGAGAAGAAAATGTATCAAAAGTGGAACAAATCCGATAGGAGATATTCTTGATCCTTCAAGGTGCTGTATAATGAAAGATATCGCATTACTTTGTACATTTTCGACAATATCAATCGTTCGCACAGCTCTTCCTTGCTCTCAAATCTTAGATCTCTATACCCTAGATTATTAATAAATTCCAGAACGAAGTTGAAACAGTTCATATTAATGGCGTTATAGTTAATGGATTTCCACTTGAGATCCTTTGACATAAGTAACAATGTTTCATCCCATTGTGCAGTCCAGGCTGCTGGCACAAGCTCCAAAACAATACAATCAGTCCACTTGGTGATATCATTTATTATTAGTCCCTCTTTGTCAAACTCAACAATGCCGCCACTAGAGTTAACTATTCCAATGTGTAAGTCGTCGGGTGTCACATCATAATCATCAAGAAAGCTACCTTGTGAGGGCCGAATAACAACACTGGTTGGAGTGGCATTTGCAAACGGATACGGAACACGAAACGGGTCTATAATGAAGTTCTGCATTTGTAACGAGCATACCGGACACGTCGCCGGAATTTGCATGCAAAACACATTCTTGGTCTTGCAATGACGGAAACAGATGATGCCTGGATCGTTGTTCATGTTTCCAAAGAACAAATTGAATTCAAGTTTGACACTCCCAGATATTTGTTCAATTAGATTCTCATTTAATTCTATTTTCTATTATTTAAAGAAATTTTCATTCCTATCAAGGAAGATAAGAAAGAGAGCTGTCAATCTGCAGAACAAAATATACATACAACAAAAACATTTGTCACATAAGGAACAGCTTCGTCGGCCACTTTATCCACTTCTTTCCTCACTATTTTACAACGCTTACACTGAAAACGAGAAAGCAAAAGAACACGAAAAATATAAAAAAATACCTGTGATAACGTAAATAATAGATTTGTTGTTTTAGCTGAATTTCTTTTCGTCTCTCCTCTTTTCCTCTCCATATTATAAAAAAAAAAGATGAACAGTATAAGAAATTCAACTTAAAAAAACAATAAGAAAATATATGTAAAATACAAGTTTGTATATACGTTAAGTAGCGAGAAACGCAATTCCAACCTAACCTAAAAATTCTAACCCAACACAAAAAATTAATATTATTCCACATTACATTCGTACATGATGGAAACATCTCATGTGCACGTGTTAATTATTAAAACAAAATATAGTACGTCAACTGCCTAGCATTATCAAGATAATCAGATGGAAAAACAAAAGCATATTGCCTAAATCCAAACTCAATTCTTGTTAAAATACTAACATGACTGGCGCATATGCAACTGTAGTATGTATAAATGTCATGCCGCAATAAGAGCTCGACGTCAAATGCATGCGAGTATCACTCCAATCCAGTAATTACGAAACTTCTTGTTGCAATGTTGTAAATCGACTCTCGGGTGCAACCAGGGTCTGTAAACTCCATTCATAAAACGTTAGTAGCGCCGCCTACTATAAGAGGACCGCAAAATGAAACTTTGTAGCAAAAAGTCAATATAGTGTAGGCAATTGCATTGGCCACCGACGAGATATTATTAAAGACCGACATCCTTATGGGAGTTCACGTCCTTGTTAATATTGAAGCGATTAAGAGTAAAAAAACTGATAATATTGTACTAATTTTATGATTTATTAGTTTAGTAGACGTGTTTATCGGTGTACGTGCATTTAAAACTCAATAATACTCGATTTTTCTTTAAAATTGTGATTTCAGTGTTATCGTCAAAGTTCGATTATCAACAGAGATAATAACTGCAGAGAAAAAAATTGTAATTTTTCGGCAATATATAGGATATTATAGCTTTACAAATATGCATATTTATTTATAGAGCATTTATGTAATAAAATATCATGAATTTAATAATGTATTAGTCAAATTTATGTTAATAATAGCAAATTTATATCAATTGTCGATAATGTCAACGTTCTTCGATTACCTCCGGGCCCTTTTTATACCGTCGAAAATTTGCCCAAGGTTGACGGTCTTTAATAGTATCTCGTCGGTGGTTTTACGAATGAAGTTTACAGATCCTGGGTGCAACGTTCGAGTGCACGATAACTGCAGTACTGTCAGATAACAATTTCTTCTCCTTTAATTAACTTCTGTCTCTGTGGAGTAAATTCTCTAGAAACAGAGGGTTGAAAAAGTTACTTAATTTATAAGTTGCTTATAAGTTACTTTTTAAGTTACCTTATGTGCATTTGTTATAAAAATTGAGTACAAAAGTAATGTAAAATTGGACCAAATGATAAAAAATGTAATATAAAAAATAAAATACCTTAATTATTAAACTCAATTTATATAATAAAGTTACTTGTATAAAGTAACTTATACCCAACTCTGTCTGGAAGTAAAATGGCCAAAAGTTGTAATATAATAGGTTTACATGCATGGAAATATTAGATTCGTGTGATGAAGATGAAAATATTAATACAATTCCATCATGAGTTTGGATCAAAAGATCCTGCGGTGGCCTCTTGGGGGGGGAGGGGGGTAGAGGCCTCACGATTATTATTTAGATTAGGAACAATTCAACATCGATCAATTAGTACAGTCGTCGCTCTAGCATCCCACTATGAATCATGATCCATGATCCCACATTTACCTATTTTTATACTAGTTATCTAGGAATCGAGACATTCGAGACTAGTGCTTAGACTGGTCGGTAACTCGATGGCGCCACCGTCTCCTCGGCGTTGGCGTCTAGCGGAACAAGATAGAAGCACTAAAGAAGCCTCGAGTTCGAGATCGGAACCATCTAGAGAATTGGAAGCTTTGTTCTTCTTGCTCCGCACCTCACCGCACTTGACCGCACTTCTCTTCCACCATTTCCTCGTTGCGAGCTACATGTAAGTTCCTGTGCTTCACGTTGGACGTGGTGTGGACTCTACGACGACTATCAACCGCGTATATTTGCAACCGCTGCACCTTCTTACACTTTCTGCAGCCGAAATATCAGAGCATATCAGAGGTGCAAAAGGTGCAACGGAATAAAGCGCGAAAATAAGATACTGCATCACACGGCGAAGAAGGACTTTTACCGATTTGGTTGGAATTGATGTGAAGAAAAGCATACGACTGCCGACCGCGGTGAACCGAACGAGCCTCAGGATTATACAGTCAGCGCCTTCAAAGCATCATCCTGGCGGCGAAAATGCAAGGCTGGTTTAATCGCGACGAGGAGGGCAAGGTGATCATTGACAACAATGGGTTTGTCACGATCACCTGCGAAGGTAATGGTAAATAGACCACAATTTTATATATATATATATATATGAATATTCTATTGTAATGTTCACATTGCAATACTTCACCATATAATATCCATTAGCAATAAGTCAATGCAGATGTATCAATGAATATTAATAACATTGATGTTGATAGAGGAAAATGTGGTTTTTCAACTGCATATATCAGAGATCGACGAAAAAGCAGAACAGATGTGCTTCAATGTCAATGGCAAAGATATATATATCGATGTTGTTCCATTTGAAACAAATGATAATGATTTCGAGGGTGATAAGACCATGAGTACATTGATTGGATCAGAGAGCAAGGAGTCCAAGGAGGAAAAGTTTACTACTCCAACAACAAGTAAAAATGGAAATGCAATTTTTCCTTGGTGTGATGCCTCAACGAAGATCTTCTTGAAAGAATACAAACTGAAAAAGGAATTAGTAAAGCATCGAAAGTTAAAAAATATGAAGAGGGCATATCAAGAAATAGCCAATAATTTGATGGAGAATGGCTTCAGCGTATCGCCCTTACAAGTAGAAAATAGATATAAAACACTCAAACGTGCTTATAAGAACATGGTAACGCACAATAGGAGGAGCGGGAGGGGAAAGTATATCTGCAGTTACGAAGAGTAAGTTTGTTTTTCTAGAGAATTTTTCCAAGTTGACTTAATCATCGAATCACATGTTAAATTTTTTTAAAATAAAGTTGCCTTTAAGAACTATTCAGCTCCATCTATAATTTCTTATTTGAATCTTAATCATTCTTTTTTTTCGTCTAACATATTCTACAAAAGTACGTATAGATATTCCTGGATATCTCAGACATATCTTGTAAACTCCAAATCCTTTAAACTCTTTGTATAATTCACAACAACCTTAAGCCTTCTAACTTTTAATCACAGATGGAGCAGTAAGCTCTTTTTAAGTAAATTTTCTGCATATATGAAACGTGGAATCGAACCTGAATCCACAGATTACTAATCTGTAGACCAAGCACAGAGCCATCCGACACCTCCTATGTTAAATATTTTAAATATGCTTACAGTGATCTGGTTGAGATATTTTCCAATGATATATATGACACGAAAATGAATGATGAAGATTATACAAAGGATATGAAGGAAACGTAAGTTATAACTGATCAAAATTATAAAATTAATCATTTACTAATTAAATATTTTAAAGTTGATTCATAAATATTTTTTTAAGACTTACACCTATTATTCAAAAAAATAATTCGTCTAGTGAGACGTTTCATTTGAAGACTCTTCAGCATAATGCCAGATTGGAGGCTCAGAACGTGAAGATAATTGAGAATCTACAGAGCTGTCAGCGTTTATTGAAGAATTTAATCACTTCTTTGGATAGTAAAAATAAAAATTCCAATCACGTGCCAAGTGGAATCTTGCAGATGTGCATGGAGATGCGGGATATACAGAAAGAGGCGAATTCACGCGCAGAAGAACAAAGGGAGAAGGCTAAGGAGCAGAGAGAGAAGAGGAATAACTTACTGGAAGAAATTGTAACGATTCTCAAGTCTAGAAAGGACACATAATACAATCAATATCAGACAAGCATTTGGATGCATCCTCAATAGTTACAGAATAATAGAATTTATTTATTCTTTTAAGTGCAAAGAGATAACTTTCTTGTTGTGTATTTTTATAATTTCATCACACGACTAATACACATTGCCTTCCTAGTAAAGTTTGTTCTGTGTATGTCATAATAGACTTCATTATGATAAAATTTTTGAGAACAATGGTTATTGTATATTTAATAATATCGTATTGTAGTTGTATCATGGAACTAGTATGAATATTTTTATTATAATCAAGCTATAAATTTTATATGAGATGGCTTTTATTTTTTACATGAATTTTAAATTCTGCCAGCCATCATGACTATCATGGCAAAATTTTGGAACACCACAGAAAAGTCAAACGTCAGAGGATAAATTATTACTACGATGGCAGTCAAAATGTTAACTTGTCTAACGAAATGATTATAAATAAAAATAATTTTATACATATTGATACAAAAAGTATCAAATAAGTTTTTCATCTGTAAATCTAAGTTACACATGAAGGTCGGGATTTGAGTTACACATGAGGGGCTGATCACAATCATTAAAAATTATGGGCTCCTTAAATCCTATTCATTACAAATCAATCTTTTTTTTGTGTGTCACTGCTAATTTGAGTTATTTTACTGTAAAAGTAAAATTAGATTAAGATAATACGAGTTAGAAGATACTAAATGTAATTATAGTTTTAAGATAAGGTTATATTTGAGAAGAGATAAAAATTTTATGACATCCAAGTTACCTCTTATGACTTTGTGTAAAAACATTAAAAATATATTAATATTTCTTATATTGTTAAAGTATTCTATAATATATTTTGAACTTTTTGAGCTTACCTAATTATTCTATAAAGCAAATATACTTATAATGAGGATAAGATGTTAAGATGATACAAAATATTCCTATAATTCATCTTTATTCTTATTGATAAAAATCTACTCCTCCCTCTGGCTCCAGCATTGTTTGATATCTGGCGTTAGGCCACTTAATCTTAAAGCGTCTACCTATACCCACGGAAATATCGTGTCCAATGAGAGATTAGACCTAAGCCAGTGGCACACGATGCTTGTTTTCTTGTTGGCTAGAATAAATTCTTGCTTTTGTATTGGCTACGATACTGACATTGTCAGTACCGCAGCCAATACGATGGCAAGATTCTAATCCAGCAGGAAAACAAGCATCGTGTGCCACAGGCTTAACTAAAGCATGGATTACAGAAAGAGACGAAATCTGACGCAATCCTCGCGTCGCTCACATGTCTCCTGTGGTTGTGTGCTAACATATTTCCCTATTTATTGACGTATTTATTAATTTATTTAGCGACAATGATCGTTTCCACGAATGAGGATAACCCGAACGCGCTGAAGCTGGTTATTGCAGCTAAATTGGCGCAGGAAACCGTCTCCATAAGGATTCTGAAGCCTAGTGGTGAGTCCATTAACCTCTTCCTGTTTTCCTCCCATGCCTTAGTTCATATAAATTCTTAATGAAGTATTCGTGAGATTAGGCATACACTACCTTGTCTTGCGGAAAATTATCAGGTCTTAATAGTCAAACTGATTAGCTCCACTTTTTGTCAATTTCCTAATTCATTAGAATACCGAGTGTTTATGTCTTCATCAATTTTCTTTACTTCTTGACTTGATCAATTGGACTTCTACAAGACTCAGTTAATGCATGTGAGATTATGACTATATATTATATTTAGATGCTACCCTGGGCCGTTTGCCGACGCTGACTACACCCACAGGATTATCTCTGTTCAGTGTCTCATCAGCACTGCGCTTCCTGTTATCTGTACCTAAAGAATTGGAGGTTTTCAACGACAAATGGTTGGAATGGGAAATTTCTCAATTACAAGTACTATTTTGATTCAGCATTAAATCTATATATCAACTATAACTTTATTTTGTGTCTCTAATAGTATTTGTTGTTGTTTTTTTAATGTTATACCATTGAGAATGCTTCCCAGCAAAAGAATGACACAGTGTAACACAGTGAATCATTCCATCTTTATTTAACATTAACAATAAGGATGTAATAATTCACTGTGTGTCAATTGTATCTCTTGCTGGAAAGTATCCTGAATTGGACAGAAAGCTATTATTGATTCTAGGAATTTGTATATAAGACTGGTTGCATTCAACAGATAAAGCAGCTCAGTGAATGATTTTTTTATAATTTTAAAAACAAGAACCAATCATATTGAAGAATAACTGAGCATTCACTCAGCTGCTTTGTTTATTGAATGCAATCAAAGATTCTTAATGTTAAAGCTGTCATTCTTTGCAGCCAGCCATATTAAGTCACGCGAGTGCAAAGACTTCTAAAACTCTACAGAAATCCGACTTATGGTCTTTACTAAAAGATCTCAATAGTGAACTGAAAGACAAACAGTACTTAATTGAGGTAAACAATGAAAGCATTTTATTACTCAAATGTCTTTTTATCCATTGTTTATGCCACTTTTTTTTAGAAATGTAGTAATTTATCACCAGCAGATATTTCTATTTGGGTAAGTCTTTGGAGCACCATACTGATTACAGATATCGCAAATAATATTGCCAAGGACTTACCAAGTGTCGATAGCTGGTTAGCTAATATTCAAAAGCAGCCAATTATCCAACAATCAATTAAGGTAAAGTCGCGTTGTAATATCTATTTTATAAACATTGATTTGACATATGTAATTGATATATTCTGAATGCAGGAATCTATTGAAATGTTCAAATTAGAAAGAGGTTCAAAGGCTATTGCAAGTATTGAAGCTGCTTCTTGGTTCCCTGTTAATACAGCCTCAAATCCTCAAGTTCATGAATCAGTACCTAGTGATGTAAGTATTTTAAATTAAATATTTTTAATTTACATTATTTAGATTAGCCCAACTAATAAGGAAAAAGAGATAGATGTCGTTAATCAAGAAGAACTTCGTAATGTGGCAAAGAGTTGGACCACTGAACAATATCCGGAAGTCAAGGAAAGTTCATATCCTATGTAAGTTGGATGAATCTAACAAGTTTATATAGTTTATAGAAATTTATTAAGCTTATGTTTTCCTTTTAGACTGCCTAAAAAAAGTGAACGAAATATATTGATAACATCAGCTCTTCCTTATGTTAATAATGTTCCACATCTAGGAAATATTATCGGTTGCGTTCTTTCGGCCGATATCTTTGCAAGGTTTGTACACTTAAAAAATACTAATAGTAATACTTTTAACTTAATAATATGATAACGAAATTTTTTAACTTGTACAGGTATTGCAGGCAAAGAAATTACAATACTCTTTACATATGGTAATTATCGTTTTTTTTTTACAATATACAAGAAAATTAATGTTCCAATTTAAATAAAACTTTAGAATATAATTTTTAAATTTAATTTTAAGTGGAACCGACGAGTACGGCACTGCGACTGAAGCAAAAGCTTTACAAGAAAAAACGACTCCTCAAGCTATTTGTGATAAATTCTTTAATATACACAACGATATTTACCGCTGGTTCGGCATTGGATTCGACTATTTTGGCCGCACTTCTACACTCGAGCAGACAGAGTAAGATTGCAATCCTATTTTCATTCCGGAATTTGTGTTCTTTTATTTCTTTATCTTATTTACATTAATTACATTCATTTTCATGATAATTCTTTTCAGAATCGTTCAAGCATTTTTCCTAAAAATTAAATCGCAAGGCTATGTGTTGACCGAGACTGTGGAACAACTCCATTGTGAATCCTGTGATCGGTTTCTCGCCGATAGATTTGTGGAAGGCATGTGTCCTGGATGTAAGTACGAAGACGCGCGCGGCGACCAATGTGATGGTTGCGGTCATCTCGTCAACGCAGTCGAGTTAATAAACCCTCGATGTAAGATCTGTAACACTAGACCTGTCGTGAAAAACTCAGTACAGTTCTTCCTGGATTTACCCAAGGTGAACTTAATATCGTGATACTCCGTCGATATGTTTCCAGCGAAATATGGAATTATATATGAAAATACAACTCTTTATGTTGCAGTTAGAAGAGAAACTGAAGGAATATTCCACTACACGTGATAAAGGATGGTCCAACGTCGCGAGAGTAGTTACAAAAGCATGGTTACGCGATGGTCTTCAGCCTCGTTGCATAACTAGAGATTTAAAGTGGGGAATATCAGTCCCGGTAGAGGGTTTCGAAAATAAGGTGTTTTACGTATGGTTTGACGCTCCTTTCGGATATATCAGTATTACAAAGAGGTATACCAAAGAATATAAACAATGGTGGCAACCTCCTCAGGATACAAAAATCGATTTGTACCAATTTATGGCAAAGGATAACATTCCGTTCCACGCGATAATGTTTCCCGCTTGTTTATTAGCGGCTAATCAAAATTATACGTTGATGAAATGTATAATGGCAACTGGTATGATATTTCCAAAGAATGCACATCTTTCGAACGCATTTTTTTTACTTTGTAATTTTATGTCTTTGTATCTTTATTTTAATCTTTTTTTTCTTTTTGAATCTTGTGGCTCTTATTTAATTTCTTTACACACATTTTTTTCATCAATTTTCCTACCGATGTAATATTTTATTTCAGAATATTTAAATTATGAGGATAAGAAATTCTCCAAGTCTAGAGGTATCGGAGTATTCGGAACCGATGCCAGAGATACTGGAATTCCAGCTGATGTATGGCGATTTTATTTAGCTTACATTAGACCCGAAACTCAAGATTCCACTTTTAATTGGGTGGATTTAGCCACGAAAAACAATAGCGAATTACTAAATAATCTTGGCAATTTTGTTAACAGGTTTGTAATTGCTATATTTCTTTGTAAGTCATCAATAATTAATGTCCTATTATTAACAATCTTAAAAACTTATTATGGACAGAGCTCTAGTATTCTGTGAAAAATTCTTCGACTCTAATATACCACCAATAGAGCCGGAAGAGGCCGATTGGACTGTATTAGCATTGGCACAACGTGAATTATCGGCTTATATAAATGCCATGGAGCAAGGCAAATTGAAAGATGGCTTAAAACGCATATTGGCGATTTCGAAGCACGGCAATCAGTATATGCAATTCCAGCAACCATGGGTGAAAATCAAGGGAAATGACGATGACAAGTAATAATCAGTTTTATTTATTTTAACTGCTTTCTCATCAATTGGCAATTCTCTCTCTCTCTCTCT